TTCTTCTACTCAGTTCCATATAGTGTTTGTTATTATATGCCAGGGGTAGGCAACTTAAGGCCCAGGGGCTGGATGTGGCCCCCTGAGGCCTTTGGACCGGCCCCAGGCCGGTCCTGCCGCCGCCGCTGCCGCCCACCATGATGATATTTATTATTGTTGTTATTACTTGTTCTTGGGGTTTTCTTGGCAAAATCTCCACAGAGGTTTTGCCATGGCTTTTCTGAGGCTGAGAGAGTGTGCATGCATATTTTTAATTTTTTAATTTTTTTAATTTTTATTTTTATTTTATTTATTTATTTATTTATTTTTGGTGCTTCGGCCCCCCGATTGTCTGAGGGACAGCAACCCGGCCCCCGGTTCAAAAAGGTTGCCTACCCCTGTTATATGCCTTCATATCAACACTGACATATGATAACCCCATCATAAGGCTTTCTTGGGAAGATTTGTTCAGAGGAGGCTTGCTATTGCCAATTTAGTTCTCTACTAATTATTGTTCGGTGGATTTGTAATTGGTTCACTGTTGGGGATGCTTTAACTATGTATTCCCATATGGCAGGGGGTCATACTGGATGGCCCTTGTGGTCTCTTCCACATCTATGATTCTCTCTCCAAGGTTTATCCAAGGTCACCCAATGGGTTTCCAGGGCTGACTGGCAATTCAAACACTGATCTCCTGAAGTCCAACATTCAAACTTCTACACCATGATGGCTCTCATGGGCCCAATGCTTTTTATATTTACATCAGTTCCCAGCAGGACAGTTTAGCTAAGTAAGCGCACCAATGGCTGAGGTCAAAGTTCAGGTCTAACACTTTCTAATGCCAGTAGTGGCCATCTCAGGCAGCAGGATGCAGGAACCTGCTTCTGGCAACAGCACAAAGTTGGGATCAGTCAGCCTTTCCTGACCTAATGTCCTTGAGATGTTTTGGAATGCAATTCTCACCAACCCCAGTTCAATAATGGCCAATAATTGCCTCTGCAAGGCAATCGGGGCGGGGGACAACAGCATTTAAAACAAAACAACGTTAAAACATTCCCTCTCCCCATAATCCCTTCCTCCCCCCACCCCATCCCCTTAAAATAGAATTAAACCATGGAATAATTAAAATACTGTATTAATTAAATTAATAAATTAAAAACAAAATTTTAACAGAGGAGTCAGACAAATGGGGGCCCCTTTATGGGCCAACAGTTATTCCGGGAAGGCCTGCCGAAAGAGATCCGTCTTTACTGCTTTCTTAAAAGCAGCAAGAGTGGTGGTAAGACGGATCTCGTCCGGCAGGCCATTCCAGAGTCTGGGAGCGGTATAAAATCCCTAAATATTGGGAAGACACCAAGTCAGGAAAAGATAGAACTGAATGGTGCAGCAAAGGGAAGCATTTGGAATTTGGTTCCGATATCAAATGTGTAAGGTCTGCATTGTACATTTTCAACAGCTGAACCATTTACAACAGAGTGTCAGTGCACTAGGAATGTATGAGGGGTGTTGTAAAGTTTTAATTATCACCTTTAAAAATTTGGACAGAAAGTTTGTTTTGATTTGTAGTTGTTAACGTAGTCACCATCCAGATTTACCCTTGGGTAAAATGAGGGTACTGCTCAACCTGTAATAATTCTGACCCCCAATTCAATTCTCTTTCATCTGCAGATTGTTTGCATTTGCAGTGCATGAGTCACTGAAGATCATTTGCACCTAAAATTCTTATATTTACTCTGTCACATTCCCTTGGTCACTTTGATTTTCCTTTTTCTTTGAATGCAATCATCATTATCATCATCTATATTGTTAGCATATACGATTTTAATAAAATTTTGGACATATGGAATTCCCTCTATGACCCCGAACTGATCTCTATGGGATGTCAGCCATAAGCCCCAAAATGGCAAGTCAGGTAGGCACAAGAAAAGGTATGCCAGGCAACTGGAAAATTCCCTGCAAACAAGTTTGGGAGTTTCTAAAGGGATAGGACCATCACCCTTAGAGGACAACACAATAGTGCTTGCTTGTCCTGAGTCTCACATCTAATGTGGCAGTGATTAGATTTAACTGCACCCTTTTCTCTCCAGCCTCCTTCCTTGATTGTGTCAAGATCCGAGTGTATTGTCAAGGTCATCCTCACACCTCAGCTTAACAAAACCCAGGCAATCAGCGCCTTTGTCCAGGCTTCAGCCAAGTCATCAAGTGTCTAGCCAGAGGTTAGATATTTCCTATATAAACCCCTAGATTTTTAGACTCCACATGCTATCCTTAGAATGTATCTTGGCTCTACGTCACTTTGCGCTCTGATCATAGCTCCCTTGGCCATCCCTTCCCCCATCTTGGCAGCCATGCATCATCATCATCATCATCATCATCATCATCATCATCCATGTCCACAGCAGATCCCAGAGAGCCCTTCGGAAGTGATTATCTCCCGTAGTCTGGCCCATCTCAATCTATTCCCGCTTTTACTCCTTTGCTTCTAGTGTGCAGCCTTATTTGAGAAGTCACGCCAAACAAGTCTCGAAGAGAAACGACAACGCAGAAAGAATCACAACCCTGAAACATCACCCAAGGAGATCTTCTGCTGTGCTTTCTGCAACCGGACTAGTTTATCTCGGATTGGCCTTTTTAGTCATCAGCGCGCTTGCAAAAAGCGTGGGATGAGTCCTTCCTGAATCTTCGTTTGCGAAGAAAAGCCAGAGAGAGAGAGAGTTGTGTGAGTGTGTGTGTCATATTTGTATGTATGCAGTTTCCCCTTTTTAATAAATATTTAAACCTTAATTAATTAATAAATAATAATAATAATAATAATAATAATAATAATAATTTTTATTTATAACCTGCCCCTCTGCTCGGCAATCAGGGAGGCATACAACAGATTAAAATATAACAGGTTAAAACAATTCCATGCTCCCCCTACTAACCCACCCACCCCTTAAAACAGAATTAAACTAATAAGAAGTTAAAAGCAAGACAAATAAAATACAATTTAAAACAGCAAATCATCCTGACCAAATTCCCTACATATCACAAAGGTGGAGAGACTGGTAGGTCACATGCGATTTCATTCGAATGAATTGAAGAAGCCTGTCTCAGCGTCATCCATTGTGGGATCTCTTAGTCATCCAGTATACACTACGGTACTCCAGTTTCGCAGGGTGTTGTTAGGACCCCACTCTTGCATATTTTGAGCTAATTATAAATTCCCCTAATTATATCCTTCCTAACAATATCCTACCTTTTATTCCAAGATCAAGACTCTGAAACTGTATTTCTGAAATCTCAACTGAAGTTTTAAGTTACTGTAATGCTAGAAATGTGGGGGTGGATGGGAAAGTTCATGGGGGCAGAGTCCTTATTGGAAGGGCAATGCCCTTATTTTGCAACCTTTGGTGGGGCTGATGCTGAGCCCACTTAAGCCCCATTATAGCTCACCAGTAATAGAATTAGAAATTTGCTCATATGTGGAGATAATAAAGATGATTGTCTCTTAGCATGTGACAGAGTGCACATGAAGAGTGCATTAACCTCATCACTGATGATAAAGAATCCTCAACCAAATATCTGATATTAGGGATAGGGCAAACATAAGCACATGAACCTGTTTTGGCAGAAAAGAATAACTGGATAGTAGTCTATTTTGTGCCAGCCTTTCTACAGAGCATTTTCCCTTTCTTTTCTATCCTGGTTGTTATGTTCCTATGCAAAAGAACCACAAACAGTCATGGTATTTCTGCATATTAAGATCTTTCATATAAATTACGGTTCCTTAATTCTATACAAAAGAAGCAGGGTACTCAGACACCTATCCTAAATAAGTAAGCTGATGCCAAGGCATCCTTACATGAAAGTCAGCCTCACAGAGCTCAATGAGATTTCTTCCGATTATTGCAGCCCTATTTGGAAGCATATCTTTTTCAAATTAATGAGATATAAGAGACCCATCTCATAGAGAAAAAACAGGGACAAAGCTGGTAACACGCTCTCTTTGAAAAGTTGTATCAAAAGTTACTGCCCACAGTTCATCCTGCTGAAGACTCAACCATGTTTGCTATGTACCTGACAACAGCATGCCCTCTATTGATTTAAGAGAAAATAATGTTTGTTCCTTTCTTTAAAAAAAACAAAAAAAACAAAACAGAATTGTCTGATAATGCACCAACAATTTACAACAGGGGTCGGCAACCTTTATTGCCGGGGGGGGGGGGGAATGGCCCCACCGCGTGTGCGTGGGGCCTTACCAAAATGGCACCCACGCTCACGTGCGCACAGTGGCCACAGGCCGGTCCCAAGGCCTCCGCAGGCTGCACCCGGCCCATGGGCCGTAGGTTGCTGACCCCTGATTTACAACCTTTCTCATCCTTTTTACCCTGGCTGAATCCATGAAATAATTTTCAGATCTCAGGGAATCCCTGAATAAAAATTACGTCAACAGTTTAATAACAGCAGCAGCAGCAACAACAACAACTTCAGTCAACAACTTCAGTCACAAAAACAGTTTTATAATCTGCCTGAGTATTTGTAGTGTGTCATGGACAGTGCATAGCATGATGGTTAAGCTGTGCAAGGCAATGCTAACTGTACAGCCATCCCATCCATCAGTGCTTAAGCTATTTAATGTGGGGGACCAGAAACTCACCCCTCCCCAGTATTCCAGAGACTGGCACCATATTTGTGCCCATTGGCCACCATTGCTTTTTTTCTTTTCTGAAAACTCTCTGGGGACTGGCAGCAGGGACTGGCACCATTGTTCTCATAGATCTTCAAGTCATTTCTGACTTACGACCACCCAAAGATGAACCCACCATAGGGTTTTCGTGGCAAGATTTGTTCAGATGGGGGTTGCCACTGCCATTCCTCCATGATTGACTGAGGCCATATATCCTCATGACCATGGAAATAACCAGACAGCTACCTTTACCGTGCAAAAGGAGTGAAGTTATCCCACGTCAGGTTACCACTGCGTTCCTCTTAAGCTTAGAGAATATGACTTGCCCAAGAGCACCAATGGGTTTCCTCAGCTGCTCAGGGATTCAAACCCTGGCCTCCAAAGTCAAAGTCCAATGCTCTAACCACTACACCACACTGGCTCTCACTCTACATATATACACACAGAAGGAAATCATGACTTGGAACCTGGAACTAGCTTGAAAGTTAATTCTGTATAGGCAGCCTTCCCCAATTCAGCATCATCCAGATACAGCATAACATGGAGCAGTGCTTGGAAACAACTAGCCAGCCCTCCACATCTGGGACTTTGACTTTTGTGGATTCGATTATTTGCAGATTTGATTGATATGTTATCTGTAGGACTCTATAGGTCAGGGGTAGGCAACCTTTCCCCTTTAAGGGCCGAGGGAC